CTGTTTGAGCTTGTTAACATTCATTTTGTTACTTTATCAAGCAATCAAACAGACCCCGTCAACAGTTCATTTGGAGACTACTCAAGCTAAAATGAAGTAATGCCTTCAACAGTAGTGAAGGAATTACCAATAAGCACATATCTATTTTATGATAATAAGACCTAAAATGCAATTATGAACATCAAAAGTAGATATTGAAAAAGAAAGTTCCCATCTCTTTTTTTTTTTTTTGATAGGTAATCATAGAATTTTATTTCTTAAAAGAGAGTACACGGGAGATATACAATCACTTTAAGCATGAAAGGAACAACATAAAATTAGGCAACCCTACAATAGAATTTTTAGCCACTGCATTAAACCAAGTATACAAAGTCAAGTAAAATAATTCTCTTATCTGCTCTATTGTCTTTGTTTGATCTTCGAAACATCGATCGTTCCGTTCTCTCCATATGCACCATACAATGCATCCCGAAATAAGATTCCAAAGAAGTTTGCTATCCTTATCACGAAGTTTTCTCCTCCATGCTCACACCACGTCTTCTATACGCTTAGGTAGCACCCAATCCATTGATTGAGAAGCCAGAATACTGTTCCAAAGCCAACGTGCACCATCACAATAAATGAATAAATGATCAATCGTCTCTCCATCCTTCTTGCACATATAGCACCACTCAGTTACATAAAATCCTTTGCGTCGAAGATTATCCACCGTTGACACCTGTCCTCTCATAACTGTCCACAATAAAAAAGCTACCCGTGGAGGCAATTTGCTTTGCCAAACCATCTTCCAAGGTAATGAACTTTCCACAAATTCCAAAAGGGATTGAAAGTATGAGCGGACTGAAAAAATACCGTCTCGAGCCAACCTCCACCTGCTGCAATCACCCTCTCCTACCCGAATTTGTATCTGATGCAGGGCAGTAAAAAACAACGAATAATCTTCCAATTCCCAATCCTGTAAGCCCCTTCCAAAAGTAATATTCCAACTAAAGCCTCCATTATGAATGTCTAATACATCACCCACCATAGCAGCAGGCTCTAACGCAATGCGGTATAATGAAGGAAATCCCTCCTTTAACGGTTGATCGCCACACCAACTATCATGCCAAAATCTAATATCAGTGCCATTTCCCACCACAAAATTCAGTTTGTCGCTAAAATCACTCCATCCCCGTCGGATATACCTCCACAAGCTCACCCCATAGGAGCCACGACCCTCAACCGTACACCAACCCCCCTCCATCACACCATACTTTGCCCCAATGATTTCTCTCCAAAAGCTCTCCCTCTCCACTCCAAATCGCCACAACCACTTTCCCAATAAAGCCTTATTAAACAAAACAAGGCTTCTCACTCCAAGCCCCCCATCCTCATAGGCAAACAGATAGTACCCCAATTAACCAAATGCATTTTCCTCTCCTCCCCTAGCCCCGCCCACAAGAATTCTCTTTGAAATCTCTCTAATCTATTTGCCACTGCAACCGGAATAGGAAACAATGACAAAAAGTAAGTGGGGAGATTTGAGAGAGTAGATTTAATAAGAGTAAGTCGGCCTCCCTTAGAAAGAGACATACGCTTCCACCCTGCTAACCTCCTCTCCATTCTTTCCATAATACCATTCCAAATATGTGTACTTTTAAACCGTGCCCCTAGCGGGAGCCCTAAATATGACATGAGCAATTGTGCAACCCTACATCCCAATATGCCAGCCAACTCCTCCACGTTAGTGACCTCCCCTACTGGAATAACCTCATATTTCCCCAAATTGATTTTTAATCCAGACACCGCTTCAAAACATAGGAGCAAACGACGCAGGTTCCTGAATTGTTCATCATCCGCATCGCATAAGATCAACGTGTCATCTGCAAATAGCAAATGAGACACCTGCAATTGGCCAACCATAAAGCCCCTTACCAAACCCTCTCCCACAGCTCTTTCAAACATCCTACTGAAAGCCTCCATCACAATAACAAATAACAATGGGGATAGTGGATCTCCTTGCCGCAAACCTCTACTACTCCGAAAATAACCCTTCGGTGATCCGTTGACCATAACTGAGAACGAAACAGTAGAAATACAGAACTGAATCCATTTACACCACTTATCCCCAAAGCCGCACCTCCTAAGCATATACAAAAGGAGCCCCCAGTTCACATGATCATATGCCTTCTGAATATCGAGCTTACATAGCATCCCGGGAATTCCCAAATGCAATCTTGAATCAATGCATTCATTCGCTATAAGCATAGAGTCCAAAATCTGGCGACCTTTTACGAAAGCATTCTGAAACTTGGACACTACTTTTCCGAGCACCTCCTTTAATCTATTCGCCAGGACTTTCGCAATAATTTTATACATCCCACAGACAAGGCTAATAGGGCGAAAGTCCTTAATGTCGGTTGCCCCTGGTTTCTTAAGGATAAGCACAACAAATGTAGCATTAGAACTTTTTTGGAACCTGCCACGTTCAAAAAAATATGTAAACACATCCAAGATTTACGATCGCACCACCTCCCAACAAGCCTTGTAAAATGAGAACGAGAAACCATCCGGTCCAGGGGCCTTATCCTCGTTCATGCTAAACACTACCTCCTTGATTTCATCCTCCTCAAAAGGTCGCTCTAACCAATCGGCATCATCCTCCGTGATTGTAGAAAAATCCAATCCTTCCAACTCTGGCTTCTACTCAAACTGCTCCCGATATAGATTCTGATAGAAGTTCACCAGTTTTCCAATTTCGAGTGGTTCTTCATAAGTTATCCCATCCACTTCCAACACTGTGATAGAATTTTTACGCCTATTAGAATTTGCGATCCTGTGAAAAAACTTAGAACATTTATCTCCTTCTTTCAACCAATTGAAAAACCTTGATAAAAATACTGCTCTTTCCATAGCACTCACTCTACGAGACCCCATCTTGTGATAGCATCTATTGAATGTCGATTGGTATAAGTGCATAACTGCCCCTTTTGCACATAACTAAATGCATATTTATGATTATAATGCATATACTCAAATAAATATACATACAATGGTACCTGGAGTCAAAGCTAGTCTAAATCTTGATTCGTTTAGAAACAAGTTACTACAGTAAACTGTCATGTGCAGCAACTATCAATTGACCCAAAAAGTAGACACGCAGACATAAATTTGCAGCACTGAAATAATCATCATACAACATTGCAACCAAATTTGGAGTCAACTAAATGAATCCTTCTTTGCTACTATTGTAATAATAACCATAATAATGCAAATGTTTTATTCTATTTCTTTATCCTAATATTTGTGGAAATACTCTAAACTTCTTTTCAGACCAGTGCATGCATCAAAGATCAAAATCCTAGTAAGTAGAATGTACATTGAAGACAGAAGAACAGATAAATCAAGGAATGATACCTTTAATATGCACAAGAATCAATCATCCAAGCCACGGATTTCATGCCCCACCTAAAGTCCATGTAACGCTGATACAATTTCTACTCCAATCTACCGTTTGCGGTTCACAAACTTTCTTGCAGTAAAAAATACATAGGTACTAAATACATATTTGCATTACCTAGAGCTTTAACAAACATTCTCCTGCTTAACCTCAGCACGTCCCAAAGTCACCTTTTGTGTGCTTCTCTTGCTTTGGATTTGGCGGACAAATTCGGCAACTACCACATGGAACTTGGGAGCAAACTTACTTGTCGAAGAGACATTAAGCCCTGCCTTCTTCAAAGCACGTGCCACATGCTTTTCAGCCTTTTGAAAGTGAAGAGGGCAGTAAGAAGGAATTGTTGATCTTAGTATTGGTTTCCCACAAAGTATTGGTCCTGTAGGCGAACTGGCACATGACAATTACAAAAGAATATTAAACAGTTATTCTCGGTAAAGGTAACATTACAAGATAGAGAATAGTACCCAGAAAGGTCTTATCTTGTTAGATCTTGCAGCAGATATTGTTATCTTAACAGAAAATTAATTGTGAGAATTATTTTCTCCATAACCAAAAAGGAAGGAATTCACAGTGTCAACAATAGAAAGATATTCCCTATATTCCTAGATGTCTTGCAAGGTGATCCTTACTGATTCACACAGAATTCCACATCCCATGCTACTCGGGTCAAAGTGTAAGCTAGTGATGTTTTCGACTACAAGACTTCTGCCATCTAGGCTACAGCATTCGTGCTGCTTCGCCTAGTAGATGACGCTTTGATTTTTCTACCACAACCCTGTTTCATGGTTTAGGCTCATTCAAGGTTGACTTATAAAGTATACACATGCAGTGGGAGAATATCTAACCATCTTCACAACAAGTATATTGTGCTTCAGATCAAGATTCTTGAGATATTCATGATCTATGAGACAGCCAATTACAACACCACTCAACTATGAAAAGTATCATCAATTTAAAACCTATACTGCATTGTTATATCTCAAAATTTCTTCTGATTGACGCAAAAGAATCAGCATGAATCAATGATCACTTGTGATTCAGATCTCCATGATTTATCTTGTCATTCATGATAACTTAGGCTACATAGAAACAAGGTCACAACGAAATATAAAATAATTTACATTTTTCTTTTCTAAATAACATCAAAATTGAAAATCCAAACCTAAATGTAAGTAGAGAAATAATTACTAGGAAAAAGACACCCCTAGTCTAAAGTACATTACAGACACCAAGGGAAAACAATATGGTATGCACTATGAAGCAAAACATTAACATGTATGAGCAGAACCAGTTATTGGATGTCCGTTTATGCATGAATATAAACCTCGAATACAAATCTTGAAATCCAACAACTTAGTCCTGAGTTCACAGCACTTGTTCTCAGTTGCCACATTTAGGTCTACCTCTTCCATGATAAAAAAGAATACTAAATGGTCTAAGAAAGCTAGAGAGTAAATAATAGCAAAGGAACTCAGAACTTTTTCCCTAGCAACTTTGTTTTTTTTGTCAATAATTCATTTCCGTTTCCGTCATGCTCTGGGCCTCCTGAATAATTCTCCAATTACCAGATTATTGCTATTCTAATCATAAGCTCTGGTTGTTCAGTTATTCCAGCAAAAAGAAACGAGTAATGAATTTCTCCAAGGCTAGGGAAAAGGGAAGATGCACTGAAACATGTCGGTCATAATACATGCCAATGGTTCAAACTGGCAGACTATAGATGACAAAAGATCCAGCTTCTGGGCCACCCCCACAATGCCTGCCCTAAATCTTTTATTATATTATTATATTTTTAAATTTAAATCGTAGTTAAAAATAACAAAATAAATATTTAAACGTAGTTGTCAATAGGATATTTTAACCCCCACCCCACCCCGCATTCCCAAAAATCCCAACAGGGTGGGGACAGGAAGGCCGCTGCAGCCCCATGCCATCCCTATGGCAGACCATACAACAGTGAGAAATTTAAGTTAAAATCTCTATTGATAAGCTTCATAGCAAAAAGAATATTAGTGAACCTGTGATAGTGCAATGAGCCTATTCAGTCCAGATATAGTCAGATCCAACAACAGAAAATAATCATCATAGATACTTTCCTCTTACCATTTTGTCACAAATGATGCCATTAAAACAGGGTTTAATTTCAAAATTGGATGCCTATCAACTTTCATAGTCTATTTCATTCCATCAACAACTCAGGCCTTGACATGCTACTTCAATTCTAAGATCGCTACTTTGGGGCCACAGACCTCATGATCAAACAGAAATTTTTTTAGAATGATGAAGCCGAAAAGGAGTTGATAATTATTGTCTTTTCTTCATCTATTTAGGATAGACAAGAATGATTTTTGCATTCTTTATTTTATTAAATAACTAGGAGGCATAAAAGTTGATTTGCTTTTGGTGTAGTGGTGCCGTGGTTGCTAAAGGGATTGGGAGCAAGAGGAAGGCATCTCTCGAATACCAAAATGGGGGGAGATGGGAGAATTAGAATTTCCAAACAATTTGAACCCACTTCTTAGAAATACAAATGGAAAACTAATTATTACTCTTGTCATCAGCATAATAGTGGAGATTATTTGGAAATTTACAGCACATATTGATATTTACAAAATAATTTTGTGTGACAGTATCTACATTTTTAGATATGACATAATCACCTAGGATTAAATATCTCTCATTATGAATATTCAACAAAGAAAATACATCTGATGCAATTTCTCACTTGAAATATACTATCATCTCCAAATCTACCAAAAGGTCTTATGTCTTGAGATAAGAAACAGGTCCACATCTTCGAGGCTAGCAATATGAATGCCAAATCTAGTTCAGGTTTTGGATTTTGAGTTCATATGTCTGAGTAATCTAATATTGATACAGAAGTTGCTCAAATTCAGAAAAACCATATCAAGAAAAGAACCTGTACCATTTTTAGCCCCTATTTCATTTAAATAAAAAAGAATGCTTTTAATATATTCTGATAAGAGTTGACGAAGATTGTGGTTGAAAAGTTAATAAAACTTGTGGATCCCATGAAATGTTAGGTTGAGAATGAGTTTGCAAAAAAATGAATTTTACAAAATTGAGACCAAACAAGAGCTTAATAATCACAAGTTTTATGTTACAACTTGCAACCAAACCAAATCATAGCAAATATGAACCTTTTTTATTAATATTATTTTGAATACACATCCAAATTCCAAGACATAAAAAAACCCTATATCAATGTATAATCTTGCAACACAATGTTCAATACATCAACTCTTACAAGAAATGCAATAAATAAAATAGCCATTAAGCCACATTCATATATTCATTAAAGGTTTGACACGTGACAAACTTTCATAAAATAAAAAATCATCTTTTTACTCTTGAAAATCTCTTTCTATAATTCAATAAACATAAGTATCTACCCACACAGACATTTCCATAATTCGATGGGATTCGAGCTTGGACCAATTGCTTTTCTGATCTTGATTCTCTTCATTAATCTCTACACCCCAAATATCCGTACTTCTCTAATATAGTTAAGATTTCTATCTATATTGTTGTGTCATCAATTACAGATACGGATGTTAATGCAAATTAGTTATTGCAAATCGTTGTTCGTAATAATTTCTTTAATTATATGGATATGTTATGTCCAAGTAATAGTTTACAAAAATCCTTTCTATGCTGCATCTTTTCAACTCCAAGCCATCCGTTGCCAAGGGTTGCATGAATTTCCAAAACTAGTTGAACCATAAAAGAATCAAATCGAATTGGTCGTGATTGAATCAATTCAATAACAAAAATTAGTTTTGGTAAAATTGTAAATGAGAATAGGGACCATTCGGTCAGGGCCTTGGTTTCTAGCTTTGAACCGAATGGAAAGCTGCTTCACCATAATTTTTTGGATCACTTTCGTTAGTGAATTGTACCAACTAAACATCACACCTTTCTCCACTATATAATATGACCCCCAAAAAAAATACAAAAAAAAACAAACCACCTACAAACAAATGACACTACATCACAAAGTCCTTGATTAGTATAGCCTTCGTCTTTCTTTGTTCTTTAGTTGGCATTTTGATTCCAATTTTGATCTCTTCCAGCCAATGACCCAATAATATTTGGCTATTTCTCTCCAAAATCTTAATTAAGAGTCATTGGCACCTGCAAACAGAAAAGGAGAGGATTCTTTCTCCAGATTTTTATTTCAAGAATTTTTATTGGAGATCAGTATTCTGTATTTCTTTACACTAAAACTAAAGATACATAAGGGAGACTGAAAGTTTATAATATGATATATTCAGTTATCTTTTCTTGTACTAAGATGACCCATGTAGTCTCTTTATATGCATGCGTGTCTGTTATGTGTGCATAATGAAGGAACAGGAAACACTGGATGATGGAAGTCTCGCAGTTTATTTCAATTGTGAGAAAAAAACAACTTTAAAAAAGTTGGTGAATTGGTCAGTAAGGAATTATGAATTAATTTAAAAATTAAGATCAATTCAAAGGATACAAATGAACAAGACAACAAAAGTGCTGGAAGATAAGGTTCCAGTTCGTTTCTAGCCTTAAAACTTTGAATTTATTCCTTTCAAGTCCGGTCTGGACATAAAAGCATACCAAACCAATTTTTTTACCACCCCCATTTGTTGCACTAAGTATGCCAATGCAGCATCATCGAATTTATTAACTTTTGATGCTTCTAAACATGCAGTTTCTATTGTTGACATAGTACTTTACCCTTTTAAGAAAATTTAAAGCATTTATTCCAAATTTTTAGGCCTACAATCAGCCAATTCATGATGGGTCCACAGAGCAAACAATATTTACTCTGCCAAAGCAGCTGATACCACACCAGAAAAACCATAATTGCTGCCTACCGACCATGAATAAACACAAACCAACAATCCCAAGCAGCCAACGAATATAAGGGCCTGTTTGATTCCCAATTCCCATTAATTTATTTTCCGGTTTGCTACGCGGAAATTTTAAAATATATTCAAACGATAAAATATTCTACGAGTTCTCCCAAAACTTTTCCCTAATTCTTAACCACACATTCTCCTAAAAATACCATTCAAAACTCGTTTCCTCTCCAATTAAAGGGAATCAAACAAGCACAAAATGATGATTCCCAGGGCGTTCTAATAGTGCCGTTCAGTAGGAGAACAATCTTAAAATAAAGCGCCAGCACCATTCGATAGCCCCAAATAGGCAGCAGGAAAGAACAAGGTACCAAAAAAAAAAAAGAACGGCTGTGAGCTAGTGTTCACGAAATCAATATACAGAGTTGAGAAAACGATGTACGACGCGTCAAAGCATACACAAATTAAGGGGCAAAATATCAAAGATAAGAAGCAAACCTTTTGATGGAGAAATTGCAAGCCTTATAGAGCTTCTGCTTGGAGTCAGAAAGTATATGCATATGGCAAAACTTGGTCAATGCCATGGCCTTCGCCTTGCACCCATGAACCCCACACCTATTAACAATAATATTCCCACTGTTAACCCCAGAATTTCCATTCTTACTACCAATCCCATTAAAGTTCTCTTGAATTATTCTTGTTCCGTCCCCGCAATTCGAGTTGATTTTCTCGTTCTCTTCATCTTCTTGAAAAGGGCTTTTTCCGTACTCCCAGCAGTATTCTCTGTACTTGAGTTTAAGCTCCTCCATTAACGCCCAGTAGTGGTCCCGGTAAATACGGACCAGTTGCTTAGTCCGGCGGGCCCGGCGTTTTAGCACCTCGTGTCGGGTCAGATACTCGGACTTGGATAGGATCAAGTCCTCTTCGGATCCATCGATCCACACTGGACCCATTGACGATGACGACGAAGGATCAATCATGTCAGTGGCTAAGGGTTTAGGGTGCAGAGACAAGGGTTTTTGGTCAGGTTTCCCAGCGAGGGAAGGAGCAGAAACGGAATTTTGGTAGCGGTTGTTGTTAGCGGCGACGGAGATGGCGGCGCTGCCGCCGGCTGTAGGGGCCATAGGTAGCACGAAATCTCGGAGAGACGACTTGTTTAGTCAGCGAATTAATTGGAAAGAGCCCTATTTATATACGCAGCATTCCTTGCGTACGGAAAAAAATCACAGAGGGCTCCCGTGAATATTTTATTTCAAAAAATAAATCACCCACTCTAATGTTGTGTTATTTATAAAACTTTGAGATAAGCCGGACCGCGAGGGGGAAATTTTCAAGGGATGCTACAGGTCACTCAGAAACCGACGGGTCCCATGATTTTTAGTGTATTTTCTTAACTTCCATTTGTCCCCCATTTTTATGAAATAAAAATGAGTAGAATAGTATTTTTTTAAAAAAATAAGTGATTGAAAAGGAAGGAAAGTGATGCTACCAAAAATCGTACCTGCTGATTTTCCGAGCTTGATGACTGGTGAGGAGCACGAACGTGATCTTCCGATACCTGAAACAAAGGCAACGAGGTGTGTTCTCGTCGCCCCTCCGATGCTTAAGTCAGAAAGGGAAATATATGCGTGAGGCTATGTGCTGAAGAACAATGAGAAAACGTACCTGAATAATGGCCCAAGGTTCTGCTTTTATAGGAGTAGGTAGTGTACTCCTAGTAGGATTGTGTTGGTTGGATGTTTTTATCCAAGGGAATTTCTATTATAAAGAATGTCCTACTTGTAACGGAATTGTTTGACAAGTGGTGTTAGGGTTGATGTAGAATCCTTGGGTGTTTAGGTTTGTTAGTTAGGTACCCAGGTCTTAGGAGGTACGTTGGTGGTGTATGTCTCGAGGACTATTCTCGAGGACATTGAGGGAATGTAAATGTGTCCTCGAGGTATCTCGAGGACTAAGGTATCTCGAGGACTTAGATGACCTCGAGGAGCAGTTGACAAGAAAAAGGCACACACTTGAACAAGTGCCGGTGTACACACACCCAGACAGAGAGAGAGAGAGCCGAAATTTAACCTTTGACATATTGAGCTTCCTAGGGCATTCGAGAGATGACTATAGCTGAGCTTAGCTATCAGCTTCCATTCAAGGACTTAAAGTCGAAGAGTTGATAAAATGAAAATAGACGTCAATAATGTTGATCTAGCGTCCATAGGTTCAAACCGCAATCAGGCACTTGACTGAACGTACAATACACATTTCCCTTCTTTATTACAAATTCTGTATCCACCATATTACACACGTTTCTCTTCCTATGTACAAGTTTTATTGAATCACAATTCGGAGTTTTATCAATGTTGGAAGCTCTACAGGATAATGTCGAATCTTGAAAAAATTCTTGACTAACTATTGTTGGCACAGGATTAGGCTCTAGTGGTTTGGTACTCGATGCCTCAAGGCCCAATTCTACACTTCCCTGCAATTGCAGCATCGTGCCTTCATTTCATATGTATTTCAATTCATGGTCAAAATCCTGCCCGGCTGCATGTCTAACCAAATATCAAAGGCCAGTCCAGATGAGAGTAGACAAGCATAGCTAAATTCTGTTCGCGAGGTGCATTGATCACTGCTAAAGGGAACATTCAGCGCCAGAAATGGGCACATTCTTCAGCCGATAAAACAAAAATATTTAGGCTAACTTAAGCATTAGACTATGGTCGTGATAAAAGGCCAGGCTGACCCATCTGTTCTTTTTTCTTTTTATTTTATGAGGGTTTAAGCCTAAAGGTAAAAATGGTTAATTGGGAGTCGACAGGACCTCTTAACAATTTCCCATGTCAATAATGGCAGTTGGTGCACGGATTAAGCAAATGAGAAAGAAATAACATATTTAATACACTTCATAAGAATACCATCAAAACATGGCTAAATACACCAACATGAGTATGTACCTTTTACCTTGATGAACTTGCAGAACCACCAAGTAGACTCAGCGCTACTTCATTGGCATTCACAATGATATACCTAAGCTAAATTTTACCAAAACACTGACTGCAGATTCTAATATGATTCCTTCACAATCTAACACACTACAAAATCAAAAAATATAGGCCAACACAAAAAAGTTTCGTCCTAGTGTCAACTCCCCCAATATTGACTAGCCTATAGCATCAACACTAGCTAAGGCAGAAAACGTTCAAACAACTCTGTATTTGGTTCTGTTTGAGCTTGTTAACATTCATTTTGTTACTTTATCAAGCAATCAAACAGACCCCGTCAACAGTTCATTTGGAGACTAAAATGAAGTAATGCCTTCAACAGTAGTGAAAGAATTACCAATAAGCACATATCTATTTTATGATAATAAAACCTAAAATGCAATTATGAACATCAAAAGTAGATATTGAAAAAGAAAGTTCCCATCTCTTAAACTTTGCAGCTCTATATATTGAAAAACCTTGATAAAAATACTGCTCTTTCCATAGCTCTCACTCTTCGAGACCCCATCTTGTGATAGCATCTATTGAATGTCGATTGGTATAAGTGCATAACTGCCCCTTTTTCACATAACTAAATGCATATTTATAATTATAATGCATATACTCAAACAAATATACATACAATGGTACCTGGAGTCAAAGCTAGTCTAAATCTTGATTCGTTTAGAAACAAGTTACTACAGTAAACTGTCATGTGCAGCAACTATCAATTGACCCAAAAAGTAGACATGCAGACATAAATTTGCAGCACTGAAATAATCATCATACAACATTGCAACCAAATTTGGAGTCAACTAAATGAATCCTTCTTTGCTACTATTGTAATAATAACCATAATAATGCAAATATTTTATTCTATTTCTTTATCCTAATATTTGTGGAAATACTCTAAACTTCTTTTCAGACCAGTGCATGCATCAAAGATCAAAATCCTAGTAAGTAGAATGTACATTGAAGACAGAAGAACAGATAAATCAAGGAATGATACCTTTAATATGCACAAGAATCAATCATCCAAGCCACGGATTTCATGCCCCACCTAAAGTCCATGTAACGCTGATACAATTTCTACTCCAATCTACCGTTTGCGGTTCACAAACTTTCTTGCAGTAAAAAATACATAGGTACTAAATACATATTTGCATTACCTAGAGCTTTAACAAACATTCTCCTGCTTAACCTCAGCACTTCCCAAAGTCACCTTTTGTGCGCTTCTCTTGCTTTGGATTTGGCGGACAAATTCAGCAACTACCACATGGAACTTGGGAGCAAGCTTACTTGTCGAAGAGACATTAAGCCCTGCCTTCTTCAAAGCACGTGCCACGTGCTTTTCAGCCTTTTGAAAGTGAAGAGGGCAGTAAGAAGGAATTGTTGATCTTAGTATTGGTTTCCCACAAAGTATTGGTCCTGTAGGCGAACTGGCACATGACAATTACAAAAGAATATTAAACAGTTATTCTCGGTAAAGGTAAGATTACAAGATAGAGAATAGTACCCAGAAAAAGTCAGAGAATAGTACCCAGAAAGGTCTTATCTTGTTAGATCTTGCAGCAGATATTGTTATCTTAACAGAAAATTAATTGTGAGAATTATTTTCTCCATAACCAAAAAGGAAGGAATTCACAGTGTCAACAATAGAAAGATATTCCCTATATTCCTAGATGTCTTGCAAGGTGATCCTTACTGATTCACACAGAATTCCACATCCCATGCTACTCGGGTCAAAGCGTAAGCTAGTGATGTTTTCGACTACAAGACTTCCGCCATCTAGGCTACAGCATTCGTGCTGCTTCGCCTAGCAGATGACCCTTTTATTTTTCTACAACAACCCTGTTTCATGGTTTAGGCTCATTCAAGGTTGACTTATAAAGTACACACATGCAGTGGGAGAATATCAAACCATCTTCAAAACAAGTATATTGTGCTTCAGATCAAGATTCTTGAGATATTCATGATCTATGAGAGAGCCAATTACAACACCACTCAACTATGAAAAGTATCATCAATTTAAAACCTATACTGCATTGTTATATCTCAAAATTTCTTCTGATTGACGCAAAAGAATCAGCATGAATCAATGATCACTTGTGATTCAGATCTCCATGATTTATCTTGTCATTCATGATAACTTAGGCTGGATAGAAACAAGGTCACAACAAAATATAAATAATTTACATTTTTTTTTTCTAAATAACATCAAAATTGAAAATCCAAACCTAAATGTAAGTAGAGAAATAATGACTAGGAAAAAGACACCCCTAGTCTAAAGTACATTACAGACACCAAGGGAAAACAATATGGTATGCACTATGAAGCAAAACATTAACATGTACGAGCAGAACCAGTTATTGGATGTCCGTTTATGCATGAATATAAACCTCGAATACAAATCTTGAAATCCAACAACTTAGTCCTGAGTTCACAGCACTTGTTCTCGGTTGCCACATTTAGGTATACCTCTTCCATGATAAAAAAGAATACTAAATGGTCTAAGAAAGCTAGAGAGTAAATAATAGCAAAGGAACTCAGAACTTTTTCCCTAGCAACTTTGTTTTTTTTTGTCAATAATTCATTTCCGTTTCCGTCATGCACTGGGCCTCCTGAATAATTCTCCAATTACCAGATTATTGCTATTCTAATCATAAGCTCTGGTTGTTCAGTTATTCCAGCAAAAAGAAACGAGTTATGAATTTCTCCAAGGCTAGGGAAAAGGGAAGATACACTGAAACATGTCGGTCATAATACATGCCAATGGTTCAAACTGGCAGACTATAGATGACAAAAGATCCAGCCTCTGGGCCACCCCCACAATGCCTGCCCTAAATCTTTTATTATATTATTATATTTTTAAATTTAAATCGTAGTTAAAAATAACAAAATAAATATTTAAACGTAGTTGTAAATAGGATATTTTAACCCCCACCCCACCCCGCATTCCCAAAAATCCCAACAGAGTGGGGACAGGAAGGCCGCTGCAGCCCCATGCCATCCCTATGGCAGACCATACAACAGTGAGAAATTTAAGTTAAATCTCTATTGATAAGCTTCATAGCAAAAAGAATATTAGTGAACCTGTGATAGTGCAATGAGCCTATTCAGTCCAGATATAGTCAGATCCAACAACAGAAAATAATCATCATAGATACTTTCCTCTTACCATTTTGTCACAAATGATGCCATTAAAACAGAAAATTGGATGCCTATCAACTTTCATAGTCTATTTCATTCCATCAACAACTCAGGCCTTGACATGCTACTTCAATTCTAAGATCGCTACTTTGGGGCCACAGACCTCATGATCAAACAGAAATTTTTTTAGAATGATGAAACCGAAAAGGAGTTGATAATTATTGTCTTTTCTTCATCTATTTAGGATAGACAAGAATGATTTTTGCATTCTTTATTTTATTAAATAACTAGGAGGCATAAAAGTTGATTTGCTTTTGGTGTAGTGGTGTCGTGGTTGCTAAAGGGATTGGGAACAAGAGGAAGGCATCTCTCGAATACCAAAATGGGGGGAGATGGGAGAATTAGAATTTCCAAACAATTTGAACCCACTTCTTAGAAATACAAATGGAAAACTAATTATTAATCTTGTCATCAGCATAATAGTGGAGATTATTTGGAAATTTAAAGCACATATTGATATTTACAAAATAATTTTGTGTGACAGTACCTACATTTTTAGATATGACATAATCACCTAGGATTAAATATCTCTCATTATGAATATTCAACAAAGAAAATACATCTGATGCAATTTCTCACTTGAAATATAGTATCATCTCCAAATCTACCAAGTCTTATGTCTTGAGATAAGAAACAGGTCCACATCTTCGAGGCTAGCAATATGAATGCCAAATCTAGTTTAGGTTTTGGATTTTGAGTTCATATGTCTGAGTAATCTAATATTGATACAGAAGTTGCTCAAATTCAGAAAAACCATATCAAGAAAAGAACCTGTACCATTTTTAGCCCCTATTTCATTTAAATAAAAAAGAATGCTTTTAATATATTCTGATAAGAGTTGACGAAGATTGTGGTTGAAAAGTTAATAAAACTTGTGGATCCCATGAAATGTTAGGTTGAGAATGAGTTTGCAAAAAAATGAATTTTACAAAATTGAGACCAAACAAGAGCTTAATAATCACAAGTTTTATGTTACAACTTGCAACCAAACCAAATCATAGCAAATATGAACCTTTTTTATTAATATTATTTTGAATACACATCCAAATTCCAAAACATAAAGAAACCCTATATCAATGTATAATCTTGCAACACAATGTTCAATACATCAACTCTTACAAGAAATGCAATAAATAAAATAGCCATTAAGCCACATTCATATATTCATTAAAGGTTTGACACGTGACAAACTTTCATAAAATAAAAAATCATCTTTTTACTCTTGAAAATCTCTTTCTATAATTCAATAAACATAAGTATCTACCCACACAGACATTTCCATAATTCGATGGGATTCGAGCTTGGACCAATTGCTTTTCTGATCTTGATTCTCTTCATTAATCTCTACACCCCAAATATCCGTACTTCTCTAATATAGTTAAGATTTCTATCTATATTGTTGTGTCATCAATTACAGATACGGATGTTAATGCAAATTAGTTATTGCAAATCGTTGTTCGTAATAATTTCTTTAATTATATGGATATGTTATGTCCAAGTAATAGTTTACAAAAATCCTTTCTATGCTGCATCTTTTCAACTCCAAGCCATCCGTTGCCAAGGGTTGCATGAATTTCCAAAACTAGTTGAACCATAAAAGAATCAAATCGAATTGGTCGTGATTGAATCAATTCAATAACAAAAATTAGTTTTGGTAAAATTGTAAATGAGAATAGGGACCATTCGGTCAGGGCCTTGGTTTCTAGCTTTGAACCGAATGGAAAGCTGCTTCACCGTAATTTTTTGGATCACTTTCGTTAGTGAATTGTACCAACTAAACATCACACCTTTCTCCACTATATAATATGACCCCAAAAAAAAAAAAGCAAAAAAAACAAACCACCTACAAACAAATGACACTAAATCACAAAGTCCTTTATTAGTATAGCCTTCGTCTTTCTTTGTTCTTCAGTTGGCATTTTGATTCCAATTTTGATCTCTTCCGGCCAATGACCCAATACCATTTGGCTATTTCTCTCCAAAATCTTAATTGAGAGTCATTGGCACCTGCAAACAGAAAAGGAGAGGATTCTTTCTCCAGTTTTTTATTTCAAGAATTTTTATTGGAGATCAGTATTTTGTATTTCTTTACACTAAAACTAAAGATACATAAGGGAGACTGAAAGTTTATAATATGATATATTCAGTTATCTTTTCTTGTACTAAGATGGCCCATGTAGTCTCTTTATATGCATGCGTGTCTGTTATGTGTGCATAATGAAGGAACAGGAAACACTGGGTGATGGAAGTCTCGCAGTTTATTTCAATTGTGAGAAAAAAACAACTTTAAAAAAGTTGGCGAATTGGTCAGTAAGGAATTATGAATTAATTTAAAAATTAAGATCAATTCAAAGGATACAAATGAACAAGACAACAAAAGTCCTGGAAGATAAGGTTCCAGTTCGTTTCTAGCCTTAAAACTTTGAATTTATTCCTTTCAAGTCTGGTCTGGACATAAAAGCATACCAAACCAATTTTTTTACCACCCCCATTTGTTGCACTAAGTATGCCAATGCAGCATCATCGAATTTATTAACTTTTGATGCTTCTAAACATGCAGTTTCTATTGTTGACATAGTACTTTACCCTTTTAAGAAAATTTAAAGAATTTATTCCAAATTTTTAGGCCTACAATCAGCCAATTCATGATGGGTCCACAGAGCAAACAATATTTACTCTGCCAAAGCAGCTGATACCACACCAGAAAACCCATAATTGCTGCCTACCGACCATGAATAAACACAAACCAACAATCCCAAGCAGCCAACGAATATAAGGGCCTGTTTGATTCCCAATTCCCATTAATTTATTTTCCGGTTTGCTACGCGGAAATTTTAAAATATATTCACTCGATAAAATATTCTATGCGTTCTCCCAAAACTTTTCCCTAATTCTTAACCACACATTCTCCTAAAAATACCATTCAAAAGTCGTTTCCTCTCCAATTAAAGGGAATCAAACAAGCACAAAATGATGATTCCCAGGGCGTTCTAATCGTGCCGTTCAGTAGGAGAACAATCTTAAAATAAAGCGCCAGCACCATTCGATAGCCCCAAATAGGCAGCAGGAAAGAACAAGGTACCAAAAAAAAAAAGAGAGAGAGAGAGAGAACGGCTGTGAGCTAGTGTTCGCGAAATCAATATACAGAGTTGAGAAAACGATGTACGACGTGTCAAAGCATACACAAATGAAGGGGTAAAATATCAAAGATAAGAAGCAAACCTTTTGATGGAGAAATTGCAAGCCTTATAGAGCTTCTGCTTGGAGTCAGAAAGTATATGCATATGGCAAAAGTTGGTCAATGCCATGGCCTTCGCCTTGCACCCATGAACCCCACACCTATTAACAATATTATTCCCACTGTTAACCCCAGAATTTCCATTCTTACTACCAATCCCATTAAAGTTCTCTTGAATTATTCTTGTTCCGTCCCAGCAATTCGAGTTGATTTTCTCGTTCTCTTCATCTTCTTGAAAAGGACTTTTTCCGTACTCCCAGCAGTAATCTCTGTACTTGAGTTTAAGCTCCTCCATTAACGCCCAGTAGTGGTCCCGGTAAATACGGACCAGTTGCTTAGTCCGGCGGGCCCGGCGTTTTAGCACCTCGTGTCGGGTCAGATACTCGGACTTGGATAGGATCAAGTCCTCTTCGGATCCATCGATCCACACTGGACCCATTGACGATGACGACGAAGGATCAATCATGTCAGTGGCTAAGGGTTTAGGGTGCAGAGACAAGGGTTTTTGGTCAGGTTTCCCAGCGAGGGAAGGAGCAGAAACGGAATTTTGGTAGCGGTTGTTGTTAGCGGCGACGGAGATGGCGGCGCTGCCGCCGGCTGTAGGGGCCATAGGTAGCACGAAATCTCGGAGAGACGACTTGTTTAGTCAGCGAATTAATTGGAAAGAGCCCTATTTATATACGCAGCATTCCTTGCGTACGGAAAAAAATCACAGAGGGCTCCCGTGAATATTTTATTTCAAAAAATAAATCACCCACTCTAATGTTGTGTTATTTATAAAACTTTGAGATAAGCCGGACCGCGAGGGGGAAATTTTCAAGGGATGCTACAGGTCACTCAGAAACCGACGGGTCCCATGATTTTTAGTGTATTTTCTTAACTTCCATTTGTCCCCCATTTTTATGAAATAAAAATGAGTAGAATAGTATTTTTTTTTTAAAATAAGTGATTGAAAAGGAAGGAAAGATTTTTTGATTTACATATAATATTATTATGAAAGATTATGTGGTTAAAAATAGAAGAGAGAAAAATGAAATGTAATGAAATGAAATTTAATGAGGACCAAACGAGGGCTTAATAGAGTCGTGCTGAGCATACAGAGCAAGCACTTACATGGGTCTTACCGACCCCTGAAAAGGGTGGGGTCGATTTTTTTTTCATTTTTTATGGCATTGGGGCCCACGTGGGGTCGACCCCATGTGTGGGGTTGATAAGACCCCTATAGAACAAAACCCTGTCTTAATGACGTGGGACCCATCTCTTTATGAGAGTCTGTACAAATCCTATGAAAATTTTCCCTGGCAGTATAGCATTTCTACATGTAGATTGGTTGTTTATATACAAGGAAAGTTCTACGGAGATGCGCAATTTTTTTTGCTTATTGGACTAATTTTTTTGAATTAATAGCATAAGATTAAAATGTTTCCATGTAGGATTTAACTTTTTCCTATTGAAAATCGCAGAAAATTTCCTCTCTCAAACTTTTTGTGCGAAAAAACCCCATTACCGTAAAGATCCGTCCAAGTTAAAACCGGTAAAAAAACCAAAATTAAAAATGAATAATTCAATTTCAATATTCAAACATTTTATTTTATTTTTACAAATTAAATTCAAATTTCTTACAAGTGTCAACACAGTCTCAAATCTTTAAAACTTTATTTTTCACCCCACCAACAAAATTAACCTTGACCTTAACCTTGACCTTAAACCCTCTTCCTCTAAACCCGAACTCTCCTCTCTCGTCCCATTTCCTCTCTCTCTCATTTCTCGAACCCACTTCTCAAAATCAAACACACATTTTACTAGCTTTGTAAAAAAAATTCGATGTTTCAGCTCGAATTGTGTACATAAATCCTAGTTTCTTTCCTCTTCAAACTCGTCCTAAATTTGTTTTCTCACCCCACAACTGATTCTAGTGTGGATTTAAGAGCATGTGACATTTCTGAAAAGGAAAATAATTCTTGTATATTTCATTGAGAAATAATAAGGTGTATATATATACATCATATGAGAATCAATTTAGGTCCTAAAACAAAGCATATACATTGTCATTGCATATTCATACTCCTGTATAAATGGAAAATACATTAACAGCAATTGATGGTGGTTAACTGAGATGATTGAAGGACATTCCTGACTTTGTGCCTTGATTCACTTTTAATTCTTTAACACTCCTCCTCAAGTTTGGAATATATGTTGATAATTCCTAACTTGCCATGTAAAGTCGAAAAATGTGAAGAACTCAATGGCTTTGTAAAGATGTCAGCTGGCTGGTGTGATGTGGATATATGAGTCATTTTGACCATTCCTTCTTGAACCTTCTCCCGTACAAGATGACAATCAATTTCTATATGTTTTGTTCGCTCGTGAAAAACTGGGTTTGAAGCAATATTTAGTGCCGGTTGATTGTTACAATATAGATTGGCAGGATGTGAGTGTTGGATGCCCAAATCTTGTAGGATGTATTTCAACCAAGTAATCTCACAACAAGTTGCAGCCATAGATCGATACTCAGCTTCTGCGCTAGATCATGATATCGTAGTTTGCTTCTTAATTTTCTAGGAAATTAATGAACTTCCAAGAAATATACAATACCCAGTGACAGATCGTCGAGTATCATGACATCTAGCCCAATCCGCATCACAAAATGCATTTAATTGGATTGAACTATCTGTAGGAAGAAAAATTCCTTGACCTGGTGTTTGCTTCACATAACGTAATACACGATAAGCTGCTTCTTGGTGTGGGACTCGTGGTTTGTCTATAAATTGGCTTAGAACATGTACAGTGATAAGTGTGTTTTTGCACACTTATTTAGATTACAAACATTACTTAAATACAAGTAAAATGATTGAATTGTGACTTAATCTCATTGAATTCATGCAATGTAAGTGTTTCTATGGAAATAGTGGAATTCAGAAGAAGAGAGCCGAAAAAGGACGAAAATGGAGCAAAGTGATAGTTCAGGGACTAAGGATGCAAATATTCGAAAGTTGAACTAAAAGATAACTCGGGAATGCAAATATGCTAAGTATGAACTCGAAAGCAATACAAGATGATTGGAAGAAGAAGGAATTGCAAAGGGACTAAAATGAATTAAACTGAAAGTTCGGGGACCAAGTTGCAAATAATTCATAGATGAGACGGGAAATGGAATGAAGATTCAAGAGTGTTAGAGGTCAATCGGATGAGGAAAGGAGTCACGAGGTGAAATAGGGTCGAAGTATTATCAAGTATCAACTTTCAGGCGAAAAAGCTATGCTCGTGATTTTTAGTATCTACTTGAGATCCATTTTTGACATAGTAAATATCAGAATTTGAGGAAGCATATTTCTATCAAAAGTACAGATATTTGAGTTTTCTTCACAGTACACTTTGAATCACTTCAATCGGAGATCAGGAGAGAAAGTTATGACCAAAATACTAAAAACTGTCCAGCGGAAAGAATTGTATAACTATGCGGTCGCATAGTATAAATTCTATGCGGTCGCATAGAAGCCTCCCGAGAACTTTTTCTCAAATTTTTTTACTTTATGCGACAACATAGAAATGTACTATGCGGTCGCATAGGTATAATCTGGGGGCCGTTTTGCAGTTTCCTTATACGATTGAAACTCCTTTGGTAACCTAATTTCCACGCGATTTAAATACGAAAGAACGTCCAGAAGAAGGGGAGAACGTAATTGGAGGCACAAAAACACAATTTTGGAGGATTTGGAGAGGAAGAACAAGGCAAAAACAAGGCAATCCACTTCAAGATTCAAGATTTCACTTCAAGAATCAATTGGGTGATGTTCTTCCTTGGTTTTAATTGTTGTTTTTCTTTATTTTCAATTATGTTAGGCTAGATTTTCATGTGTTAGGAGATCAATGTACCATGTGATTTGAGTTTTATATTTCTAGTTTTGCAATTTGACATTAAAACATATTTCTTTTGTTTTGAATGATTTATATGCATTTATTGTTTCCGCAATTAAGGGCCCGTAATTTTGTGAGTTTGGGTGATTTATTCTTGCATTCGAGAGAATTGGAATAGATTCGACATAATATAAATCATCGTAGGGTCCGATAGGGGATAGAAATATACCGCTATGCCCTACGTGAATCTTTAAGTGTTCATAAAACTACATGCATTTTTACATATGCACTTGTCATAGAAATATAGGCCGGTGGTATGTAGAAATAGGTTTGATACATCTCGAGAGAGAGTATTGTATAGACTTATGAACATTGATTCGTCAACAATTGAATTATGTTGTCATATTGTGAAACTAGAGTATAAAGTGATAATTGCATGGGAAATCGTGATCCTAGTGTGTTTAATTTTATTGATTACAACAAACGTGCGTTCTCAACAATTGATTTCATTTTAGAGTTTTAAATTATTGTTTTGCTTATTAATTTCATTACAATCATAAAAGCTGCATAAGTAGGGTTTTCTTTCCAATTTTAGAGTTTTAATTAGGTCCACATTCATTTTGAGTAATTTGGTTTCGGTTAAGGTCGAATAAGTAAAATTGAACTAACCAATCTCTGTGGGACGATACTCGGACTCATTGAATCCACTTTATTACTTGTTAACGAACCGTACACTTGCGGTAATTTAAATCGAAAGAAAATATTTCGTGAACATACCGCATATGTCAAATCAGGTCGTGTGATAGTCAAGTAAATTAGTCGTCCAACAAGCCTTCAATATGAAGAAGGATCACTAATATAGTCCTCATCAAACTTACTAAGGGACAAGTTTTGCTCCATGGGAAAAGAGACTGATTTGGCCCCTAGATAAACAACATCTTTGAGAATTTCAAGAGCATACTTTCGTTGTGAAAGAACAATGCCTTTGTTGGATCGTGCAACTTCTATTCCAAGAAAATATTTCAATTGCCCAAGGTCCTTCAATTTAAATTGATCTCTTAAAAATGACTTGGTATCTTCAATGTCTTGTAGATTATTTCCTGCAAGGACGACGTCATCTACATAAATAAGGAGAGTAGTGAATTTACCATCTTGGAATCGGACGAACAAGGAATAGTCAGCCTTTGATTGTTTGAAGTTGGCTCGTTTGAGGGCAGTGGTGAGTTTGATAAACCATTGGCGAGATGCTTGTTTGAGACCATACAATGATTTGTGAAGCTTGCAAACTCTTGTCTCCCCCTTTCGTCCGAAACCAGGAGGTGAAGTTATGTAGACATCTTCATCAAGATCTCCATGTAAGAAAGCATTGTTGACGTCAAGTTGGTGAAGGTGCCAATGTTGGGTTGAGGCCACAGCAAGGAGGAGGCGAACAGTTACAAGCTTTGCAACTGGAGCAAAGGTCTCACTATAATCTAATCCTTCTATTTGGTTGTATCCTTTGGCTACCAACCTGGCCTTATAGCGTTAGACAGTACCATCGGGTTTGAATTTGATCTTGTATACCCATTTGCAGCCAATTGGCTTCTTTCCTGGAGGAAGTGTCTGAAGAGACCATGTTCCATTAGCCTTGAGTGCAGCAAGTTCTTGTTGCATAGCTAGGCACCATTTGGGATCACAAATTGCCTGTTCAAAGGAGTTGGTTTTTTTTTCCACTGAAAGAGAAGTGGTGAAAGCATGGTGTTTGGGTGATAACTTATCATAAGAAACGACATCAGATAAGGGATAAAGAATACCTGTTTCTGTAACCATCGTCGAGTTAGATGATGGAACGTTCCTTGAAGGAAGAGAAACACCAACATGATACTCTCGAAGATAACTA